ACACGGGGAGCCAATGCAGCAATTTTAAAACCGGTGTAATGTGGTCCCGCCCCCTGGTCTTAGTTAGGACACGCCCCCTGGTCTTAGTCAGGACACGCCCCCTGGTCTTAGTCAGGACACGTGCGGCCGAGTTTTGAAGTAATTGTAAACCTGAAATGTTCTTTTTGGGAAGACCAGAGAGCAGGACATTACAGTGGTCAATGTGACTGGTGATAAAAGCATCAGCGTCTCCGTGTTGGCCCGAGAGAGAATGGGGCGGACTCTGGCGATGTTCTTTAAATGATAAAAACCTATTTTTGTGATGTTCTTGATGTGAGGAATAAAAGTCAGCTCAGAGTCAAAGATTATGCCCAGGTTTCTCACTTGTGATGGATTAAAAGAGTGTGATTGGAGTTTTGATAAAAGTTTCTCTCTCTGGGCCTCAGGACCGATGATTAAAACCTCAGTTTTGTCCTGGTTAAGCTGGAGAACGTTTTCTGCCATCCAGGATTTCAGGAGAATTGGGCTTGAACCCAATTCTCAAGACCCAGAGAATATTATTTCCTAAGACTAAATAATATAAAGAAATATGAAACCAGATTCTCAAAGACTAGCTATTTTTATTGTCCTGTACCCCTCAGTCGAATAGAGGGTCTCAGACAAAAACGTCAATGGCAGTCAATGAGTAAAAATAGATGATTAAACTTTTATTATTTTTAAATGACTAAAATATCTAATCAAATATACACAGGCACACTTACTTCATAACCTCCGCTGCGATCTACCTGGTGTGTATTTTTTAGAAGACACATACCAATATATTTACACAGTATATATTTTATGAAATAAAAGTTTTGATTCCTCCCAGTTAAAGTACGGCCACTCTGTAAATATAATAAAGTTTCCTCTTGTCTTGCGTGTGCAGCCTGGGGGCGAAGGAGGCTTTGGAGCGCAGTTTTGTGGAAAAGACCAAACCTTCGTCGCAAGAAATTGCTCGGATCGCCAAAGGACTGCACCTGGAGAAAGAGGTGGTCCGAGTCTGGTTCTGCAACCGGCGGCAACGAGAGAAACGAGTGAAGACCAGTTTGAACCTAAGTCTGAAGAACAGCCACAACTGCATCACTCAGATGAGCAAGACCACACGACCCATCGCCTAGGCAACGACGGACAGACTGGACGCAAACATGAAAGATGTGACGAGTGGATTTGTTATTCATGATGTGACATGGCTTCACCTTTGTTTACTTCACATTCAGGAGGTGAATACATACAGGCAAAAGTGATTAACGTTACAGAAGGTGCACACTGCTGGGGTAGTCTCGCACAGTTTTTCCAATGTGGTTTTACTGCAAATGGTAATTCAATTCTTGTATCTTGTAAATGCAGATAGTTTAGTCTTTATTTGAAGGGACAATGTACAGAGACATTTAGCTCAAAGACAGACATGACACCAGATTATAGCTACACATCTGTTTCCATCTGCAGTCCCTGGTTACACAAATAAAAAACATGGACACAGTAATGTACGATCCAATAGAAATAGCATCGCACACACTCCCTGATACACACACACACACACACACATTCAGCCTTATACCTTAGATGCTAATAAAGCTGGGATACCTACATTTCAAACTACTTCAAGCCTTCATCAAACTCTCAGCTCACTTGTTTAATATTTTGTCTATGCATTGCAAGTTTTTCTTTTGCCTAATTAGCTGTGATCTGTCAAATTCAAGTTGTGAGTATGTTTGGCTTAGATTCTTATTATTTTCTTTGGTTGACGACAGGTTTAACTTCAGATGCACTTGCAAAAACGATGCAAAGCAAGCTCATTGTTGTGGTTATAAAATACTGTATTGATTTGTATCATTGTGAATTAAGTTACGGAAGAGTATTAATATATTTTGCGCTGAAATGTTGAATATAAGGCCTGTGTTGATCTAATTCCCAGTGCACTCCCTCCTGATTGATGACAGTCAGATGCAGAGGCTGCTTGTTTCCAATTTATCATTTTCTAGGTGCTGATGTTGCTTTTGTCTCAAGTGTCAAAAACCAAAGATTGATAAGAAACGTCTCATGTAAGATGCATGGAATATTTATTTTCTCGGTTTTATTTTTGCATCAGCTGTCACTAACCGATGCACAAATATAACTTTGCATACCATAGTGTGGCAGCTATTGATTTATGTATAGTGAAACTTTGTTTCCCAAAAGTGTCTTAATTAAAGAAAGAAAAACACCAGCTCTCGGACTCTCACATAAAAAAAACAAAGTGAGTTTGAAAACTGTTTAAGTAACAATCAGTCTATGGTAACAATCAGTGGGGGCAGGTCCCGGCTCAAAAGTGGCCAAAATGACGTGCGCTGACATGCTGCAGTACCACCCCGGGCCGATGGGGGTGGACCTGGAATAAGAATTAGCCAATTCTAACATATAGCATCTTCTTTCCTCTCGAAAGCGTCTTTACAGGATGGTCCAAAGCTCCGTTCCACATGTGTGTCAAAGCTGAGGGGAGTGAATTGGACCAGTCTAGTTTAGTCACTGAGTTTTTGAGGGCACTCGTTAAATGAATGGAGCTCGTGCAGCTGACGCATGCGCAGACGTGTTTAGCATTTTCCAGCCACCGCGGCCATTTTGAAACTGCCCATAGACCGCGGAAGTTGTGGCACATTAGAACGACGGAGATAGGCGTGATTACGTCCGTTAATATTTACAGTCTATGATAACAATGTGTCCTTCAGAAAACACTTCATAATGATAGTGATGAAATGAGCACAAGACGCCGTGAAAAGTACCTGATTCAACTTTATTTCTTATAAAAGCCACACCCTCTTACAGAATTCCAATGATGAACCTGTTTCCAGTCAAAGTTTAGAGGAAAGATAGATAATGGTATGGTACATGTTCCTTAAATATGACCATGATGAGTGTACGGGTAAAAGTATTAGTCGATAAAGTTGATGTTATTGGTTCAAAGTCAATGAGAACTACAGGACTTTTGAGGTCCAGGGACAGAATTATTGGGAAATGACAAAAGGAAAAAATTTTATTCCCTTAGTCATTGTATATTAGCAGGTCATAATCTAACGCCCAATTTGTGCATTTGACAAAAGTAAAGTAAAGAAAGCAGCAGATCACACAACTCAATCTACATCTGATTACTTTCTAAAGGAGTTTTAAAAGGCCAGCAGTATTAAGCATCACAGTCCATTTTGCAGAAACACTCTAATATGAAGAGTGTGTGCTTTTGTGTCGAATGAAACAGCCAAAAAAAAAAAAAAAATCACAATTTCCTGTAACTGCACAGCAGCTGAAATAGGACAGGGACTGATGGACATCCCACAATCCCAGTGTGAATCCAAAGTCTCATAAAAGAACCAAAACGACAAGACAACCCACAATGAAAACAACATGATTAATCAGTAGTAACCAAGACGTCGATAAGATGGTATTGCGATAATCCTAAAGTGTGTAATTTAAATAATCTGTACAGGGTTTGACTAAAGACAATAAAAACAACGCATTTTTAAGATGAAAGCAAGACCAGGCCAGTGCAAGTGGGAATCCCGAATTGATCCAGCCATTGAATGCCTTGGTACCTTCTACTGTGCCTCAGCCGACACAGACACTTCCACCTGAATTCCTTATGGCATATATTTGTTGCATCCCGGTTTCCTTAGATCTTATGCTGATACAGTGCAACAGTTTGCCACAAAGTAAGAACATACTGCGATGCGGCCGCTCTCGTCTCCTATAGACCTGAACACCTAAGCCGTGTTGTTTACAATGCACACTTTTCCCAGTCAGAGAAAAAGTAGATCTTCAGTTTGTCAAAAGAGCACAGACGCATACTTCAGAGCTTTATAACCGCACATTCACGCAGACACAGCAGCCCTTTAGGAAGAGAGAAGGTAAACAACAGTGTAGGTGGTTTCGAGATTGCTGAGGTCATTAATCTTCCGACCTTCAGGCTGTGGCGGCTTGTCTAGCTTCCAAATAGATATTATATATGGGGTCTAGAGCATCAAGTTGTCTGTAGTATAATTGCACGTTTGCATTGCTGTATCAATTATAACGGGCTACAAAGAAAGATCAAGACCACAGAACGTCTGGCATGGCTTCATTGGGTCGCCCTTTGCAACTTCTGCATTCCTCAAAAAAAGATGCTACTGCTCTGCCGGCGATATTCAACAGTACGGCATTAAACATATTTTTCTAATGAATGATGAGCAAAGTTACTGATCAGATCTGTGCAGGAAAGGGCACGTAAGAGTACACGCTTTTCCTGCATTTAGATAATGTATATGAACGTAACGGCATACTGTCCAATGACGCAGGCAGAGCTATAACCTCCTGAGGATCATAAGGCAAGTTTGAGACATGGTCCGTGGACAAACAAAAAGAAGACATTTGCATTAGTGTATTTCAGATGGTTTTGGGACTTAAAGCTGGGGTACCTAACTTTCGAACCACCATCAAAACATCCGTGACATGCATTTCCTGGCTCTAAAACAGTTCTGTCATTAGTTTTGACGTTGTTAGTGTTGTACATTTGGCTACATTTGTATCTTTACATAATCTTTTTCAGCCATAAAAGTGAAAAAGGGAGGACCACACTCCTCAGCCAATCAGCTCTTAGCCTATAGCGTTAAACAGTTACTCTTTCTTACAAGAATGCCAAACTTTCCAAGCTTTCAAAGATGATAAAGACAGCATTTTGCACTCTGGTTTGTAAACGGAACTTTTTCAAGACTTTTTGGGTAAATTAAATGTATTCTATATGGATTCAAAGTGCGGTACCCCAGCTTTAATGGAAAGCAGCATTCGCACCTGAAAAACCTGGTGACTTCCAATACAATAGCATGTTTTGTGTGAATAAGTAACCCCATACGTCGTAAAGAAAGTGTCTTGTATCATAACGAGCGTAAATGCTGGTTCTTCCCGCGCCACACCAGCCTCACAGTCTGTTTGTATTAACGTCTGTATAATTTGAACATTAATACGGGGGATGGGCGTCATTAGTCGACTCCCAGAGCTCGGAGGTGCCTCTCGATCTCCTCGTCTGAAATGGTGGTTTTGGAAGACGAGGCGGCGCTGGGGATGCTCTTTCCTGCAGCTGGAGTCCGCGCCATCTGTCGTCACAGCAACAGCACATCAGAAAAGGTGCAAACAAAGTGCTGGATGTCATGTGCATAATACTTTTGCATTCATTGTACAAAATAGACACAAATAAAAGAGGAAAAAAGGAGCTAATTATGTGTAAATATGTTCAGGGGATAGATCTTTGTGATTATTCAGATGAAAAAAAAAAAAAAAAAAAAAAACCCTTTTTATAAAATTAACAATATTTTCTATGTAGTGTATAGTTCTCAAATGTAACTTTTAATATCTGCCAAAAGAACCAGTTTGTAGATACTTGTTGAAATCTCTTTTTTCAGTACATTTGTTCAAAGCCATACCATCTCCAAGCACTGATGAAGTTAGAAGAGGATTTGTAACATGATAGAATGCGTTTTTACTGTTCTTTGGGCAAGAATTGTGAATATTTGTTAAAACGTTGTGTCTTTTCACACAATAAGCGTGATTTGAAATCTAGAGGCAAAGTCTTTCATAAAGAGGAGTTCCTACAGAGGTTTCATTGACGCCAAAACAGCTGCATGAGCCGAGCGGTGGATAAAGGTTATTCGTTTTCAACTTTGTAATCGTTTTCTTTTTTCATCCCAAAAATGAATTCAAAATGCACAAACTTCATTTCTACTAATCATTGTTGAAAAACTTGGCACGCAGTCGAGCACAGCCTTAAAATGAGTCAATAATTTCATCTATGTTAAGTTTGCCAAAATCATGAAGTTATTGAAAGAGAAAGATAAGACTTTTAACAAATCAAAACTAACCGTGGTGTTGCCAGACTTTGAAACTTTAAAGTCAATCCCTAGATGTATAAAATTTGAAAAGCAATATTTTTTGCATTCATTCATTCATGTTCATCCCTTTATAATCCATTTCTGGGTCAGTTGGATACAAACGTAGCCAACACATTTACATGCGTCCCTATAAACATGATCAGAGAAATGCACATATGGATGAGGAGGTGAAAATGAGAATTACTTTTTTAGCTAAAGGCCAAAAGAATGTTTTATTGCATTAGTGCCAATAGTAAAGTCAGGTGTAAACGCCTCCACCTCATCCAGCTCGGTGTGTTTGCTCTCTGCAGCTGTGCGCTTGTTTATGGGACAGTTTGTGGCTCAGTGCTGCGTGTGGAGAAGCTAATAACTCATGTGAGCCCGCAGGGGGCGCCAGACACACGGCAGATGGACAACCAACTCCACCAGCGCTGAAGGCGACAGCCCCCCCGTGTGGCAGCTGCAGCACATTAGACTGCATCGCATTAAGATTTACTACTGCGCTTTAAAGCTGGGCTACCTAACTATAGTTTTCACAAAACAGTTTGATGAACAAACAAAAAGAGTTTTGTAAAAGAAACATGTTGTGAACAGATCAGACCACAACATCCTTCCTTTATAATGTTAGAAAACATGTTTATTATGTTTTAAAAAGAGTTGGTGGAGAGTCCAGAAGTTTCTTATTTAAAGATCAGCCTAAAATACATGTCTGTGAAACATAGTGATAGAACAAACCTGTTTATAGAGGAACTAGTGACAGAATGTATTCTAATTATTAATCAGTAATGTCTCAAAGCTTAGAATAGTTTTTTTGGAAAAATCTGTAAACTAATGGAGATTTTCAAAATTAGACAATGAAGTGATTAAAGTGAGTATAGCTCTATGAAGTCCTCACTTTAAACATTTTGAACATACCATGGTTTGAACTAAAAGTAACTTCAGTAAATCTCACTCCTTTAAATCCACCTCATATTCTTTGCATACCTTTCCTGAGATCTCGATGCCGATCTCGTCCAGGACCTGGTCCACGATGCCCTGGCTCTCATCCTCGTCTCCGGACTCGTCAAAGCACTCGTCCAAAGTGTCGTTTACTGAAAAGTGGAGATAAAAACATGTTCAGGACGATGTTAGGTTTGGGATCGGACCAAAAACCCTACATTTGGCCAACATGGGAAATCTGTGTAAAGGTGCTATATTTTATCAAATTCAATTCAATGTATTTTTGTATAGACACTTCCTCAACAACAGATCAGAGAATCAAGCAGTTCAAACACTGGAAATGCAATAATAACACAAAGAAGCCATTGTCTATAGGGGGTGGGTGATCAATGTCTATAAAAGTTCATAAAAATCCTTAAATGTCCCATAAGTACATAAAGTTACTTATATACTGTTATTTCAGAATCAAAACTAAAGTCATGATAATGGCAAACAATTAAAAAGTTAATTACAATTAATATGAGACTAAAACCATGTAATGTGAAGAATATAAAGTGTTTTGACGACTACAAATATCTAAAACACAAAAATATGGCCAACAAAAATCAATATTAAAGTGCATATGAATTTTCACATGTTTTGAGTTACTAGCACTTTACCCAAGATCCTTTGCTCTCTGCACATCATGGGAACAGAGTCATTTATAGAGTGGAAATCCGGTCGTTCCAGTTTGTCCGGTTTTCAAAAATACCTGCGTCTCTGTGAGGTGTGGGAACAGAACCTATGACGTAAGAGTTTGAATAAGAGGGAAGCTTTTCTTACTCATGTCCTCTGTCATTCCCATCTTCATGTTTTCCTTCTGAAAGTCCTGCATGGTCTTCAGGGTCTTCTGTGGATCCATCTTCTTGTTCACCGCCTGCATTGTCTGTGCGAGGATTCAGACAGATGTAAGAAGTGGGAATTTGTGTGAAATGTGGTGCTTTTGGCAGTTCCAACAGCCAATATCCCAAAAATCTCCAATAATAGATCACAAATCCTGTACTTTGTCAGAAAAAAAATGAATAATTTACAGACAAAACTTTATATTGCGCCGTATAATTGAGGAATATCAAAAAAGGGCTGGAGCTAAAACTTTGTTCTTTCTTCTCGGAGGTCAAATTGACACGCTGGTTTGGCTCTACAGCAGGACATCTGTGTTAATTATTCATATTCACTTCAGACACAAATTTAATGGGCTCATATTTTAAAAGAATTATGAGAAAAAAAATTGTTTTGGTTTCAGGTTGCGCAGGATGTAAGTGCTGTTTATTTATCATTTGGACCTTTGTAATCTTGTGTTTGTATGTACAGTATGATAAGATGAGCTATACTTCATTGATCTCAGACTGGAGAAATGTACATGTCACTCAGATTGTGCAAAAGACAGAAGTGTGCGACATGTCAGAGGCAAAAATATAGTCGGTTCAGGACATATTATGTACAATAAAAAGTGGCAATAGCAGTGCAGGTGTTTTCAGTCCTAGTGCATGGCTTAAAGCAGGTGTCTCCAACCTTTTTCACCCAGAGAGCTACTTTCCCGGGACGATAAAGGCAGAGAGCTACTCCTTTAAGCTGCCTTGGGAAAAATAAGGTGATGGTGTGAAAAAGCCTGATATAGTCATTGCATAATTGTGACTAGTGCACAAAGTAGAATAATACATGCTGAAAGAGAAAGTATATTATTTGATTTGTTCATTTCTAAATCCTTTGGCGAGCTACTGGTGGCTCCCGAGCTACAGGTTGGAGACCCCTGGCTTAAAGTGACCTATTTGCATGAGCATTACTAAATAATTGATAATATTGTGGAATATTCAATACAATTCCATTTGATTTATTCTTGTGTCGCCCTAAATCACAACTGTAGTCATCTCTAGAACTTAACCAAAAAGGTTGAAATCGCCGACACAGATTAGAGAATCAGGACAGACACAAAGCATATGTACAAATATGAATATGTACATAAGTGTTGGTAAATGACCATAGTTGTTGAATCATCACCACTGTCCTTTTTGTCAGACCTTTTTGTTGTTTGGTTATCAGTAACTCATCTAAAAAGGGTTTTACGTACATACAGAGAGGTCTTATCACAACTCTTTGAAATTGCTTAAGCGACACAGGCGTCATTTCAACATTAATAGCCAGTTTGACATCACTATTAGCCATCTGTCTGCATCATTAGTTTGAAGCCTAATTATATTTGACCTGTTTGTGCTGACTCTTCACTGCTCACCGTGTTTCGGGCCCTGAACACCTCGCACACTTCATTACCAAAAGGGCCATGAGCGAAAAGCACTAACCACAAATAGAAAAGGCATTAAACACCACAGTCGTAGTGATAAAGTACTTAACAGGGGAAGTCACCGATAAACAGGCAGTGAGTCATGTCAGTCACGGGTTTCCAAGAGCGGAGATTAGTGCTGAGGTCATTGTTGACGTCCAAATGAGCTATATTCAATAATGCGTTATGTATTCAATAAGACTGTCTGCCTGCTGCTGATTACAAACAAGAAAACAATTCAGTCCCATGTTGTAACTTCACCAACACAGAATGGACCCTTTTGAAAGTGATATCACATTGTTCCTCATCAAAAACAGACATGGAGTAGTTTTAAGATCCATCTAAGATCATATATTTAGCCAGAAATGTGCAACTCTGCCCAGTCTATCTATAAGCTCCTGTGTAGTGCTGTAATGGTATAATGTCATGGTAGAGACACCACTCTCAGAAAAGTGTTTTAAAACTAAACTTATTCATTTGTTTTGGCAACTTATCAGGCGAAATTATAATCTTTACAATTTGAATGGCTGTTGGAGATGGTCATTCTTTAAATTGTGATAAAAATACTGCTCCCTCTGTTGGATGAATAGTGAGTTACAGGTGGAGAGGATTTCATTTTAATTTTGTTGTCTTAGATAATTATTTTACATTATAAAACATGAACTTGGTTATGAAAAATAACGCATTATATTTCTTCTTTAAGAGCTTTTTTCTTCACAAGCGGACATTTATTTCAATTCAATTAATTTCAATTAATTTTTCAATTTTTTTTCCTAAATATAAAGATCCATAGTGAACATTTGCCATCCTTACTGATAAAATCCTTTACTTTAAAGAATGGGTGAGAAAAGCAGTGGTGCCGCACTAAGAGGATTCAACCAGCAAATTTTCCTGCAATATATAAAAAGACATGAGCTTGAAAAGGATGTCATGCTTTCTTACCCAACAACGTGTACAACTGTGACAAGTTATTTCAACTCCAAACTAAAAATCCATCTTCATGCCATCTTCCTATTTACTAACTATGAAACAAATTACTTGCCTGATTAAAAGGAAAAGCAATGTTTGTGTTAGTTTTGGCCCTTTAACATGTGTTAGATTGTGATATTTGACTGAAGATGTTGCCAAAACTAATTTAGGGGCAATTATGAAAAGAAAAAAAACACGTAAAACGTAGAAATCAGGTTCTGCTCATGACGTAAAAAACAAAGGATTTTTCATAGTGTAAAAAAAATAGCAAACAAATAAAAAGAAGCTGAGGACTGCATTTGCGTGTATTGTGTCAGAATTTCCTGACAGTGCCTGGATGGATCTAAAAACAAGGTCGGTTTTAGATGAGAGAACGATGTTGTAACGTTTAAAAACAAAAAAAAACTGTTCATGTGTGTGTCCTGCACTAGCCTGGTCTTATCCATCCGTACACTCCGCTCAATCATCATTTCCCTGTATGTAACGTCTGGGTCTGGTCCCTGTGTTTGTGATTACGATTGGTTGAATTCCATCCGACCAATCAGAGAGCGCGGGAGGCGGGTGTTGTAGTTGTGGGTGACGTCAAGAGTTTGCGTCGAACGTGCAGGTTGTAGTTTGGTAATGGCAAAAAAATGCGATAGTAAAGTAATCCGGTCTGGTTATATCAAGAAATTGAAGCCGGAGCAAGATGAATGTTTAGCAAATGTAATCGCTGGCAAAGATTGTGGCGCTACTCCCAACGGGCTCAGTTAGCGGCAAAGGAGATGGCTAAAGCTAGGCTAAATGCTAAATGCTAACAACTCACTCGGGGGCATTACATACGTCACGGTAAACTCAGGTGCAATCGTTTCAATCTGCAAAATGAGTTAACCCCTCCCACCTGTTAACAGAGTCAATGGAGCACCTTCAGACCTTAGTACCAAATGTAATTTGTACTATGGTGTGGTACGACCAGGCTAGTCCTATACAGCTCATTGATTGACTTTAATATTAACCCTTATCACTGAAGAAAGCAATGTAAAGTTTTGTTGTTTTTTTAATGTTGGACCCCTATTATTATTCTTCGACCCGTAGCTTTTTTGTTAAAGTCCTTTACCAAATAGTTGAGATGTAGTTTGATGGTACATGTGCCTAAAACCAATCTACCAAATGTCTGAGGAAATCATTAAAGGGTTAACAAAATCAGTCCTCACCTTGGCTGTGGAGGACATCGCTCCGGCCATCTTCATCTGTGAGTTCATGAGTTTGGTTTGAGTCGACATGGATGTGACTTTGGAGCTGACGGCGTAGGTTCGGTTCTTCTGCTTCCTCAACTGGACCAGCTGCTTGGCCAGGATTTTACAGGCCTCACGGTTACCGCTCTTTGCCATTTTCTTAATCTCCGCCTCCTAAAACATAAGAAAACAGGAGAGTCAGGCAGGGAGAGAATTTGGTTAACAAAAGACGATGTGTGCTTGGATGTCCAAACAGAAAGGAAAATGAAAAGTGCTAAGGATGTCGTGGAATATAGAGTATTGACATTTAAAAATATGCAGATATTTGGCCCCAATGTTTGCCTTTGAGGAGCCCCTTTAGGAGCCATCTGTGAGTCCTAAGAAGTACCACCCATATATGATATAGACACATTAAATACAAAGTGACATTTACAAGCCTATAATTTGATGATTATGGCTTACAGTCCATTTTCAAAATATTCTGATATTTTTAGATTTTTGGTTTGGGTTTTATACAAGCCAATTATCAACATTGTAAATTTTAAAGATGTGATCCATTTCACTTTGCCTGTTGTAGGTCTACAATATTATAGTTTCACATTCACAACAGTTTAATTCTAGAGTTTCACCTGTAAATACTGGACAGGACATTCAGTAAAGGTCTTTGCTAAACTCAATTTTAGACCAGTTTTGTAAGAGTTTGGGTCCATGTTACAAATGTCATTCATGAAAGATCATATTATCCCTATGTATCCATACTATGCTCTCATTAGTCAGTATTAGTCTAGTCTTACTCGAGTTTCACCCAAGTTCCAAGTACCATAAATGCCATGGGACTGACGGATGAATATGAGGCACTAAAGAAGCTCAGAATGTGGAGCTAATTTAGTGCCATGACCAAGAATAACAGCAGCAGCAGTGTGGTCGAGTATGTGATCGACCCTCCCCATGACGCCAACGCCACATCCCAGGATTAGTTTATGTCTTTGCACTGAAAGCATCCGCAGAAAATAACATCAAATATTCATGCCTGAAGTGGAAGAGCTATAGGTGAGCACCTCTTTGTACTTTTTCTGCAAACAAACACTTCTGCAAATATTAAACAACTGAAGATGAAGCAGCGCAGCTTTGACAATATTAATGTTTATTTGGGAGAACAATGTTTGCAATAAAGAAGAAACAACAAGGACATGAGAGAGAGCAGTGGGAACGGAGCCGATGTGCGGAGTAATGCCTTATTTACAGCGCTGTCGGGAAAGACAAGAAGAAGAGGAGGAGGAGGAGGGCTGGAGCTGGTGAAACATAAAGTAGAGCCATAGAAATAAAACAGAAGAAATGTACAAATAAAAAACTTGAATGTAAAAGTGTCTGATAAATTATGTGGAATCAAGTGGGCGGCACGGTGGCTGAGTGGATAGCACTCTCGCCTCTCAGCAAGAAGGTCCTGGGTTCGAATCCCGGACGGACCAGGGCCTTTCTGAGTGGAGTTTGCATGTTCTCCCCGTGTCTGCGTAGGTTTCCTCCGGGTACTCCGGTTTCCCCTACCACTAAAAATATGTACAATAGGTCTGGCATGCGCCTCCTGTTCGGCGACCCCGCTCCCATCTCTGTGTGGAGTGAGAGACAAATGCCCAAAAAAAAACAATTGTAAACCGCTTTGTGACTCTGGTCTGTGAAAGGCGGAATATAAATAAAGCTTACTTACTACTAAGAAGAAGCAGTATGTTTTTGGTTGAAAATAATATTTCAGAGGAGGGAGGAGAAAACAATGTGCCACCGACCGTAATTAGATTGTGTTCATTTTCAATTGGAAGACAGGTGCTGTACATTTCTAAATGAAAGAAGCGGTTTTAGAAAGAAAAGTTGAAAAAGATCAAATGTTCTCTTCTGAGTCAGTGATTTGGATTCAAACATCCATCCTTTTATTCTTATGTCTGCAAGTCCTCTCTGAAGGCCAACATCATGCATGGTTTGGAATATTGTCCCTACTTCTAGACACCTTTATGAAAAGAAAGACGAGAGGTGATTAGGTACTGACAAGTTGATGTCAAACTATAACTCTGAACAATTGAAAATAAATAATAAATAAATATTAAATAATGCTGTAATTTACTAATGACATTTGATTTTTGTTTTTATTTTATTTTATTTTTTAATCTATGAGGCTCGAGCTCAGAACGCGATTTCTTGCTACATCTTATTCTTGATCCTGTTTTTGTGAATAGAAATAGGCGTGATAAGTGTATATTTTCAGCCTGAACTCTTTCGATCTGTGAAGATGTCATTTTGTGTTTGTGCTAAATGTAGTTCGTCGGAGCAAAAACTAACCAAACAATATAATAAATTAAAATGGTTCAAAACGATGAATTCTAAAGATATTTTTGTTTTTTACTCACTGCTTTGCAAACGAGCTATACAACTTTTTACTATACATTTTCTAACATAATTTCCCTTTATTTATTTCTGTTATTAAATTCAGTAGTCCTCTAGCAATTATAATGTTTCATGGCTCCATCTTTAACATGTCTGAAAAAGTCTGCTCCCAAAAGGGTTATTACATGCATCTTACATGGGGTAGATAACTTTCAAATAAATCTGTTCTGAAGATAAAATAACGTATTCCATATTGCACTGACTGTATGGACCGAGCGAGTCACACACAATGTACCTTCCTTGTACCTTTGACTGGCAAATTTCACACAATTGGTTTAAAGTCACTAGATTTGTCCTTCTCACAGAAATAGCAAACATCAAATTCCACTAAAATACATACATTTTGAAAGCAGGCATTTTGATGGGTGCTGCCAAAAGCCCTTGTGAGAGCCATCAGTTCTCTCCATAACATTTGAGAGTGTGACATTTCTTGCTGGGTTAATAATGATCTCATTTCGTTGCAGTTTGCGAGCGAGTCCTTGATTGTTCAGCCACCAAACCCGATTCTGCGTAGCTGCAAAATTAGGTCATTTCCAATTCACGACTTTAAGAGGTTTTTTTTTTTTTTTATTCAAAATGTGCAACAAAGCTCCAAATGGTGGGGATAAAAAACTCGACTAATTAGCGGAAAGCATTAATGAGAAATTAGATCTGCATCCCCCGGGGAGGTAATTATGTCCTGTATCGTATTTACTTACTACAAGAGAAGCAAAAGGACACAATACTTTCATCTCACACTTTTCATCTGTTTTTGTGTCTGTTTTTGTGTCTGTGTAGGGACACTAAAGACAAAAGCGATCGCCCCAAGCTAAACCACGCAGCTCGCACTGTCAACTCCACACATTTATACCCATTTAGCTCAATATGCAGAAGGCAGAGGGAGTAAAACAGCATTGAGGCAATAAGTAGGAAACCAGAGGAAATGCTTAAGTTTGTGTGAATGACAGGGCAAGACATGTTCTATCAATAACAAGATTATTATGGAATATTTCACACCAAGTTGTATATACATGGATTCACAGTAAACAAAATAGAACACATTGGGTTTTTTAATATAACAAAAGATAAGAAAACCTTTTTTCTTGACAAATGCATTAAAAAAACTATATTTACAGACATTTTTGGGTCTAAAAAAATCAATTATTTGAACGACTGATCAGCTAATCAAATCATCAAAATAATTGTTAATAACAGCCCTACTGAGAAAACTAACTGTTAAGGTTGTACAAACATTTATTGTAATGGAAATTGAGAATAAAAAACTTTGCACCAGGTTTAGAAAAGTGTTGGAAAAAAACTAAATATGTAAGAATTATATTTATAACTCCTCAGAGAAGGTAGTAATGCCAGATTGTTCTTCGTGACTCTTTGTCCGTGACTTAAGACTATTCAGACTGATTCAGAGGATTCCTTCAGTCTGTGTGTCATGTGTGCGTGTGTCATGTGTGCGTGCGTGTGTCATGTGTGCGAGGGTGTGTCATGTGTGTGTGTTGTGTGTGTGTGTGTCATGTGTGCGTGTGTGTGTGTGTGTGTCATGTGTGCGTGTGTGTGCGTGTGTGTCATGTGTGCGTGTGTGTGCGTGTGTGTCTGACCAGCTGTTTCTCCTGTCTCTCCAGCGCTGTTCTGTCTCTGGTGATCTGTCGCTGAGTCCCGCGCAGCTCCTTCGACTGCTCCTTTATCACATCTGTGGAGCACAAAGAAACTACACTTTAACGCATTATCTCCAAAAGTTATTAGAAAAAAATACTTTACAAAAAAATGTACATTGTATAATTCAAACTGTTCAAGCAAATCTACAGAAAAACTGGATTTGAATTTGTTTTGACAATTTGATCAATTACACAAACTTGAAAAATAGACTTTGCTGCATCAAAAAAGGGACTGCAAAATAAGAAAAAATGAGCACATTAAGAACAGGTGTCGTCCACAGAGATCAGAGTCATTTAAGCGTCACAAGCAGCTGGAATAGAATGAATGACAACACATCAGTAAACCTCTGTTCAGGGAGAAGTCGCACAAACCGATAAATGTTTGATCAATACTAACTCAAAATCTAAAACAAGTAAAAGGTTGAAAGATTCAGAAAAAAATAGTGCAAATACCCATTGGTTGTAGAGATGAGAAATGGACAATGTTGACAGAGCTCTTAAAAAAAAAATCAATTGTTCTGGATAATAATAGTTTGAAAAGAAAAAAAAATTACAAAATATATAGAACTAATTTGGCTCGACATAACCAGAGTAAAGCATCTCTTCTGCTTGTTTAAAAAAAACCTAAAATCAACTAAAAATCAACCAAAATTAAAGTCCATGAAAAAATTCTGATGAACAAGCTTTATCTAACTATAAAAAATATGTTGATTATATATCCAAGTTAACATGTTTAGGATATGAAAAGTTATCAAATCAAAAATCAAAAAGAAAAGAGGAAATGATATCTGTAAGAAAAGTAGAGAAACAAAAATTATCTGATTCTAGCGACAAAGACAAAAGGAAAAAAAAAGCCAGTGGAAAATTGAGGACAAGAAGTGCCTAAAAGTGAACTATCAAATGAAACAGCTTCTCAAACTTGGTACAGGTTCGACCGTGCTGAAAAAATTATATGAATTCAACCAAAAGTGTAAAAATATCTAAGTATATGACGTACAAGTACACGTATAAGGTGACGTGACGCCAACGTTTCCAAGTGGGAGGGATATCGTTCTACAAATACGTGCCATCTCAAACCCCTCTTCTATGTTCGCCGATTAACCACCTCAACCTGCTGATTCACTGTGGACCCTAACGACCCCATAACGTCGATATATCTGGAATCAATGGAAGAAAAGACGACGAGATGGAGGAATATGGAAGGGTGTCTTCGTGGAAAGGAGCAGCTTCAGAGCACCGTGAGTTTGAATGGGAGTGAGTGAAACTGGAATGACAATGATGGGAGGAGCAGACAGGTGCTGTGGAAAGATTAAGCTCTAACAACAAGCAAAAGTACTGTATTAGTCAAAATTACAACATATAATCTACAAAAAGTCAGCCACAATTATTCATTCCACAGCTAAAAACAGCTTCGGGACTTGAGTCATTTATTAAGTGCTCTATTTGACCTTGTGATGGTGAGGACTTAGCCTGGAGACAGGGTAAAAAGATTTCAGGGCTGGTCTTTTAGCATTTTGACAGCGCTGGAATTAACGTTCTTAGTTAGGCTGACAGCAAGACAAAATATCAATCTTCAAGACTAAAAATGGAAAGTCAGTCCAAGTTAAATATCTTGCATTATTAAAGTATGTGATTCTTCTATACCAGACAATAGTAGTTAAGCAATGTCAACCTATTGCCTGGTCAGACAAAATGAATCTACCAAAACAATATATGCATTATGCCAAAAATATCTGAATTTGAGGCACAATAAATAATATACAGAATAAGTTTTAAGTGTTTTATAATTTTAACAAGACTTTCTCAAAACATCAGTGGACTTTTAGCCTCGCTTTCTTACTATTTACAACCCTTCCCACTTTTGCATTACTCATGTTTTCCTAATGCACTTAGCAATGAGGAAAAACAAGTCGTACAATGTAATGGACTCTGGTATTTTCTGCAGCAGACTGGGGAACACGTTTGCATCATTTCTTCAATCAAAAACACATTTCACTATAGTTTTCCACCAAGACATATGTGACAGATACGGAAAACAGGAGCAGGAGCTAAAACAGGTCAGACAAGTTCATTAGAGCGACATTTCCAACACACAGAAATCTGCTCAATGCTAAAAACAACTTGGCTAGCTTTTTACGCAGCGCCAACTCACCGTCCACAGTCTTCTTCTTGAAAAGGGAAGCCATGTTTGGATGTAATGTGAAGCTAAATTGTAAATATAAAAGCGTATGCGGCGAGGAGGTGGTAAAAGAAGTGGTTTGGCCTCAGATCGGGACGGCAGGTCGCTTTAGCTCCGGTTTCCTGGTTTTCAGCAGCGGTCCTCCCTCAGCTGACAGCGCTGACGTCACGGCGCGTTCACAGACAGAAGGAAAATAACAAAGCAAGACATTAAAAGCGTGATTAAAATAACAAAAGAATACAATTTCATTATTAATTTCAAAAGAAAATCATTAAAATCTGTTTGTTATACTGTATATCTGAGTATACTACATTGTTGCGCTTATTTGACCAGCGTAAGCATTCAGTGTGATATTTTTTATCTTGGTGCACTTAAAGGCAACACAAAAGAACTACCTTTCAGACAAAGAAAGTTTACGAAAAAGATTGAGATCAAAATTCAAGCCAAAGGTTCCGTTTGTACTAATAATTACTGCATTAAAACAACACTCAAAAAGGATAAAATTGTGGTTTTAGATAAGCCTTGGAGGATAAAGCAAAATTGAGAATAACAAAGGAAAAACTGTTATATCAAATTACAGTCTTTAATTGTAGAAAGTTGTCTGATTATTTAAAAGAAAAAAATATCCAAATAATCACGTTTGTTTTTTCTGTAATCATATTAGAAATTAGATGCATATTATGGGTTAAAGATCTAGTCTGTCTTTTTCCTATATTCTTTGTATTAACTTCATCATTATCCAATTAGGTTACGTTTTATTTTGAATTAGAAAAGGTCCTTGAAATGCTGTGTATAAGAGGAAGCATAATTTGAATCATAAATAATCACAGTACATTAAAAAGAAAGATAAAAAATCCCTCAGTTGTATGCAGAGCTAAACAGAACTGTTTTTAACCTGGTTTTAAACCTTGTCTGAGAGGAGGTCTGTCTCACATCATCAGGAAGATTGTTCCAGATTTTAGCAGCATGAATCTAAAATGCAGCCTCCCCACCATAGAAAAAAGGGAGGACAGATCTAGTTTTAGCATATGGTCTTCTTCTTAAAAACATCCGCTGGTGATTATTTTTTATAGCCACAGAACTATGCCGGATATCAGAGCAGATGTTCACTTCTTGTATTACTTCCTGGAACAAATAGCTATCTGTAAATTCCTCCATGAGTTCCTAATATCACTCCCTTCAGTATTTCCTCCCCATCCCTTTACCCCAGGAGGCTGCGCTTTAATGTCTGTCATTGTTCATACATTTCTATTGCCTTGTTCCATCTTGCTGCAGACTTTATGTGGCACTATTGAACCGTGACCAACTCAATTTATTTGTGCAATGAGAGACAGGAGAATCTTAGCCCTAAAATAACCCACATTAGAAGTTGGGAAAAGACGCTGGGAGGTGACTTTGAGGATGGGTTGCCTGTAGCGTTGTTTCGTCTCCGTGGAGAGGAGCGTTCGGTCCTGGGGTGTGCTTCTTGTTAAGGTTATTAGGGAAGATGTTTGGCACTAATCAGTGGAGCACTTCAGGGACCTACACTAAATGGTCTCATCATCACTGGGGCCCCAGCGGTGATAAATCTGCCCTGAAGCACCCTCGGGATCCAGGTACCAGGTCTGTCACTGCAGAGGAGGAGACATGCATATTCTAATAGGGGCAGCAGACTGTGGTTTAATGGGCATTTATCATGTTAACATAGCATAAAAGACAAAATGTGGGGCTTAGGGCTGCAGTTATAGTCACAAAATCTATATCATGATCAAATGTTTAAGACCATAATTTAGAAAACAATTTTCCCGACATAATGGCATGTATAACTTATGACAAATGTATTATTTTTACTGTACGTTGAAGTGTACATATTTGAATACTATTTCATACTTTTGTTTATTATATAACTTTATTTCCAATACCACTTGGGTTTGACATTATTCTAAATTCATAAATATTGTTTGTCAATACGTAGTCAATTTTTTAGTGATTCAAACATTGTGATTTTAACGTAATAGTAAAAATTCAATAAACTTTTATAATTGATCATAAAACTAAAAAAAGCAATCTTGTGTTAGTCCCAGGCCATGGGTAAAATGTCTGCATAGATTTTTTGTCATAAAATCATTCTCAAATCAAACAGCGCAAAAAGCCTTTCTAATATTCTCACATTATTTCGACCAAAGGTGATATTGGATCATTTCCAAAGGCACACTAAATGACTTCTCAAGGCGTACAAAAGTTCCACAACTGGTTAAGAAGCATGGCATAAAACTACCATAAAACATATACAAACGTTTAGACTTTCAGTAATCTATATAAAACAGAATGCTATCGGGTACAATACTGATAATAATTCCATATTGTAACGGACATATGCACCTTTTTATGTTGAACAACTCTGTAAAATCACATCAATACACAACTTAAACTGCTCATTCCTTCACTTCCTCTGATCTTTCTCGTCGTACCCAGACTCTGCTCTCATGTCCCGGGGGCGAGTCGACGTGTAAAGGCACTAAGTACAGACTGAAGCAGAGAAGGACGTTCATGTGTGAAATGAGTTTGGGGTCCGATCAGTGGGAGTCCTGGCTGTAAAACCCATGGACGTATCTTCTTCCAAATCGCACTAATCCCACCACTCGCCCCCCCCATGTAACAACTGCTCCCCTCCCACACTTCACAGACCAGAGGACAGAGGACAGAGGACGGAGGGCGGAGGAAACGACTGAGGTGGCTTTGGATTCTTTGCCATTGTGATATTTTTGATATTTGAGATACTTCTATTAGCGTCTGGAAAGGATATATAAATAGAAACTCAAATTGATTAATTTGAGTGAAGGCATACTTTTACAATAGTCATAAATATGCATATTCATTCATCTTTCCATCCAATTTCTTCCGCTTCATCCGTTGCCGGGTCGTGGGGGTATTTACTCATTTTGGCAGGCTGTATCTCTTCACTTATCATGATGTTTTAGACCTTTCCACTGCAAATCTACTGTCATTTTCCTTATAGATTTTCAGATATGGAATTCTGTTATGTATATTTATGTGATTTGCTTTATTGAAAAATATGTCCCTCTTTTTTTAACCCTTAAAATGTTTGCCCACTTCTGTCTTTTGCACAATCTGAGTGATTCTGTCATTTTTCTGTTTTTTTCATCCCCTTTATTAATCCATTTCTGGGTCGGGGGGACTCATGGGAAGATGGCCTTGGTGTTTCAGCGGGGGCTTCGGGCAATGTGGGGTTAAGTGTCTTGCCCAGGGACACAACGACAGTAGACATCAGTGGGAGATCAATAAACTCCATCTTATGTTATGTTATGTTATGTTATCTTTTTCCTTCAAATACTGTTCTGCTGGAGGGCTCACCACCTGCTACTCCAGCTTGTCATCCAGCTGGTCATCCAGCCAGTAGATGCCTTAATGTACTTTGGATAATTGCAGACTTACTATAATGCAAACATAGTAGTAATTGTATTTTTGTCATTTGGAGTGCCATACCTCAATCAAGGATGTTTTTTTAGGTGATTTTAGCTTTATAGCAATTGTGTATAGACATCTTTTAAATACATAAATAAGTTAATTCGATTGCGCATTAGATTTTAGAGTCAAATCTGCATCAGTCTCTTTGATTATACATATATTTCTTATTCTAGAGCAATATTGATATACATTTACAATACATTTTCAGAGCAACGTATAAATCACAGTCATATCCAGCCCCCCCCCCCGTGTTATATTTGTGCAGCATAAATCTGACTGTAATAGTGTATAAGATATGGTGATGAGTGCCGCAGCCCTGACGTGTGTAACTACAGCTGAAATATGTGTGTATGCAAACACGCTCCAGTGAAGAGGCAGCGCATGGGAGAGGAGGGATTTGAACGGCTCACTCTGCTCTGATCGATGGCCACTTCAGACCTGCGCAGATGGAGAGAGACAGAGAGAAAGAGATGGAGCAACACAAAAGATATGACAAGGAACATGTGATGAGAGGCAGGTGACAGGAGAGATATAACTATTTCTATGGTGAAGCTCCATCTGTTATCTATAGTCACTTTTTTAAAACTCCACTTTAGTTTTTGAGTTTTTTGAGGCCAGGGTAAGATATGATTTTGAAAATGGGCTGAAAAATATATGAATTGTTTTCTTCTTTTCTGCTCCTTTCCTTCATGTAAATGTTTAAGATATATATGTTAGAAGTATTATGTGAACATGTGAACAAAGCCTTTTTATGAAAGGAAAAAATACATGAATACAAAAAAATAAAATAGAATTTTTGCCTTTAGAGTTTGGTTGGTCAAAATGTCATTATTAAAAGACATGACAAAGCAACGATTAGGAAAAGGGAAGAAAAAAAACATAAAAACTATGATAATAACAAAGAATACTGATAAATATAACAAATAAAAATAAGTATATAAAAAGCATTGAATAATAATAATAATAAAAATAAAACTAAAGAGATCTAGTATCACTTTGGCTGTTTATTTTTCTCATAGTATCTTAACTTTAATCATCATTGTGGATGTATATATGGTAATCAATGAAGCTATGCAAGTAAGGGCCTGTAAAAGCGTTGTAAACCGCTTTGTGACTCTGGTCTGTGAAAGGCCATATGTAGATAAAGGGGACTGACTTACTTACTCACTTAAAAAAACAGAAAACGGCTGTCGTTCACATAGGCAAGACGTTTCACCCACACTGAGCATATGAATCTGGAGAGTATGTGATTGGTGGTGGTTGAAGGGTCTGACAGGGAATGGTAGCCACACTTACATTAGTCAGCCCTGGGGCAGCCGGTCAGTTAACTGATTGACTGATTCTCAAGGCCCACAGAATATTATGTGCTATGACTATGTGAAATATGAAACCAGATTCTGAAAGACTGAATTGCCTACTTTCATCAGAAAAAATAAGTTTGTTTCTTGCTATTTTTGTTGTCCTGTAATCCCCAGTCGAATAGAGGGTCTCAGACCAAAACGTCAAAGGCAGTCAATGAGTTAATGAATAATATACAGA